GTGTGTGTGTGTGTGTGTGTGTGTGTGTGTGTGTGTGTGTGTAGGATGGGAGCCTTTTTCTCTCCATGTCTTCCTGCCTTCAACGTGTTGAAGCTGATTGGTCTCATGTATCTGAGGAGCTGGGCCGTCCTCACCTGTAATGTTCCTCACCAGCAGGTGTTTCGAGCTTCCAGGTAACACACACACACACACACACACACACACACACACACACACACACACGTTATTCTCACCAGGTGTATGATATTATAAATGAAAGGAAATGTTATGAATAAACCATTATTCATGTAGATTCTTGATAAGAATCAACATTAAAACCTTTCAGAGATGAAGAATTATGACAAACTTCTCCTCTTTAGACTTGTGTTTGAGCTTTTCTTTGTTTTATTAACATTTTAGACCTTTTGTAAATAAAACTAGAATAGTTCCTGGAGAATCTGAGGGCTTGTCATGTGTCATCTATGTAAAGATTTGAATCGACCATTTATTGGAGATCACTGTGGTCTACTCCACTACAGTGGACACTCAGTTAAAACCATTTCAGTCAGGCTTCAGATCCCCTCACAGCGCTGAGTCGGCTCTGTTGAAGGTGTTTAATGACGTTTTCAGCCCTACACTCTGGTGAACCTGTCCTCCGTGTGCTGTTAGACCTCAGATCAGCCTTCAACACCACTGATCATAACATCCTCATTTCCAGGCTGGAGAAGGAGGTGGGTGTCACAGGTTCAGCCCTCGGTTGGTTCAAGTCCTACCTGAGAGACAAACACTTCTGTGTTAACATCAAGGACTTCATGTCCTCATCAGCACCACTTCAATGGGGAGTACCACAGGGCTCTATCCTGGGARCCCATCTTTTTTCCTTATACTTATTGCCACTAGGTGCAATCTTTCGTAAACATGGCATACCATTTCATCTTTACGCAGACGACTGTCAAATTTACTTTCCTCTGAAACAGGCTGGCCCACACAGCATCCAACCTCTTCCTGACTGCCTGGCTGACGTCAGGGATTGGATGGCTTTAAACTTCCTCAACTTTACTGAGAAGAAAGCAGAAGTCATTCTGTTTCCAGCCAACAACACAAACAGTAACACTTTCATTAACCTTTCCACTCTGGCCCCGTTTGAAAAACAACTTGTCACCAACCTAGGTGTAAAAATGGATCCATACTTGAAATTAAAGTCATGTAAACTCCATTGTTAAATCCTGCTTTTTTCAGCTGAGGAGACTGAGTTAAAACCCATCCTGTCAAATAGAAATCTGGAGACATTAATTCATGTGTTCATTACATCCAGGCTGGATAACTGTGATGATCTGCTGTATGGAATTAGCCAGTTGCTCGTTTACAAATGGTCCAGAACTCAGCAGCCTGATTTCTAACTGGACAAGAAAAAGAGAACATATTACTCCTGTTGTAGCWTCTGTTCACTGACTTCTGATTCATTTCAGATTTCACTTTAAGATCCTCCTGGATGTGTTTAAATGCCTGAACAGCTCCGCCCCCTCTTACCTGTCAGGTCTAGTGTATCCACCTGTCCCACAGCTCTCTGATCATCTGGTCATCTGCTTCTGAAGGTCCCTGACTCTGGTCTCAAACTGACAGGTGACAGATCCTTTTCTGTAGCAGGTCCAGACCTGTGGACTGATCTACCACCACAGGTCAGACAGTCTCCTTCCCTCGCCGTCTTCAAGTCTCGTTTAAAAACACACTACTGCTGCCTTGCCTTTGGGTCTGAGTGAGATGGTGCAAAACCTCACCGTGTATCATAACTCTGTTCTTTATGTACTGTAAATATAAATGCTCCATATTTTAACTGTATTTTGAACATGTCCTGTTGTGTCTGTCTGCTGTACAGCACTGTGGTTGGCCTGGTGCTGTTTAAGTGCTTTATAAATAAAAGTGGTTTGGTATGGTACTACCATCCAATATTTGAGCCAAATATGTCTTAAATGGCTGAGTTATGGTCCATTTTTCAATTTTAGCTAAGGCAGCCATCTTGGATTTTTGATTTGGCTTCAGTATGTGATGGGATCCATCTTAGCTAACACCACACTAAATATGARGTGATAAAAGGTATCAAAATGACCAGCTTTGTATGTCCTAAAACTGCTGAGTAATCTGGGAGCCATGCTGGGTTACTTAAAGCCCCTTCATTGTTCTGTAATGGTGCGTTCACACCGAACGCGATTTCAGCGTCAGGAGCAGCAGGTTTACATACAAAGTCTATGGTGGACGCGCTTCAAGCAACGTCGGGAAGTTCTGCGGCGCCTCAAGCGCGATTAGAGCAGCGCGATTTGAACGATTTGGACGATCTGAGCGTCGAACGCTCAGATCGTCCAAATCGTCCAAATCGCTGAAGTTAGAAAATCTGAACTTTTGCAGCTCGACGCGCAGCGTCAACCAATCAGAGAGACTCCACTGTGTGACGTAGTAACATATTTCCCGACGGGACAGTTTACTGAATGAGGTCCACTAACCTGAAACAGACGGAGCTCCTGCTCTTTAGCTGAAATGAGTGCTGCAGTCGTGTCCTGATCCGCAGCAATGCGTGGCAGCGACTCATCAGACTGGAAAAATAGTCCTGAAAGCAGCTGTGAGCCTCTTCTCTGAATTATCTGGTGAATTAATTATGAATTAATTATCTGATGAACGTGACACGTTCTGGCTGTCTGTAAATAAAGCAAAGCCACTTCCTCGTCCGACATTAAACAGCCCGACAGAGGAGGGAGGGGCGGGGCGGCTGTCGCTGTGCAGCGCAGCTGTCCTGCGTCTGACCTCAAAGTGCACAAGCTTCAAACTTCAGCGTTGGCTGCGATTTTGAAGCTGAAATCGCGTTCGGTGTGAACGCACCATAACTCAAGAGGCTACTCTGCCCAGCAACAGCCTCAGCCAATCAGAAGGCCTGATTGTGATGTCATTACAGGGAGGGGCAGAAAGGATCTGCAGCATGTCTCTAGTTAAAACAACCATCAGCTGTGTGAAAACTATAAGATCTATTGAAGTAATTCTTGATCCTGAGCGACAGAAGAGGTTGGTTCTTACTCGTGGAAAATTTCAGATGTGTACAGATGTTTATCTCTGAGATGTGACGAGTTAAATGTAGTTGTTGTTTTGCTTCAGAATCAGAGTGAAATAAATTTAGCATKGAGTAAGTTAGGAGGAGAAGTGGTCCTTCACTGACTTCTGACTCACTCTGACAGAAAACCATTTGTCCTGCAGGCCATCAGTGTGTGAATGATTGGCACTGATCAGTCTCCACAGATGATTGTACGTTAGCTCTGTAGAGACCTGACACTCTGCTGTGTGAATGGGTTAAGGCAAGCTGTAATAAAAAACTGTGAGTTGTTGTGTGTTTGTTATTTTCAGATCCAATAATTTCTACCTGGCCATGCTGCTGTTCATGTTGTTTCTCTGCATGCTACCCACCATCTTCGCCATCGTCAGATACAGACCCTCTGAGCACTGCGGACCCTTCAGGTGACCCGCTTTAACACGTTTTACACACTTACACTCTCAAAACATGTCTGAGCTGGACTAACAAATGATTGTGATGACCCTCAGGAGGGAGGGGAGGGAGTTTAATCTGCAGTCATCTCATCAGTTCTCAGAGGTTAGAATCATCTTAAATCACTGACTTTCATTGATTTGTTGTGTTTTGTGTTGTTTCAGTGGTCAGGAGAAGATCTATGACATCATCTCAGAGACGGTGGCCACAGACTTCCCCCTGTGGTTCAGTAAAGTTATGGGTTACGTCACGAGTCCGGTGGTGGTTCTGCCGGGCCTGCTGCTGCTGTTGTAAGAGCAGACCCYCATCAAACACAAACTTCAAAACAGAACAAACATATTTTGCTAACAGACTGACCGAACCTTTTGTTTTTCAGCATGTTGATCTACTACCTACAGTCCATCGCCAGGTCCCTGAAGTTCACCAACAACCAGCTGAGGCTGCAGCTGCAGACAGTGAGTTCAGGCTCAGGACCCGGTTCTGGACCAGGACCAGGTTTCTGTTTGTACTGACTGATGTAATAATCCCAGTTCACATGAATGAGGCTGATAAATCTGCTCAGATTGAGCAGCAGATGAGTCCAAATCTCAGGAAACCAGAAGAAACCAGAAGAATGTTCTGGTCAGGATGAAGGGATTCAACACATTCTGCTGGACCTGAGAGCATGTTGGCTGTGACTTGTCACGTTAATGATCAACATGTTTCCATCAGCTCCACTGAGTTCTGATGGACTCATCAGCTCCACTGAGTTCTGATGGACTCATCAGGTCCACTGAGTTCTGATGGACTCATCAGCTGCTGGCTTCTTCCAAACTGTAGAGCTCTAAAGGTCCAGACTGGTTCTGGTTCTGCCAAAGTTTTCTCTGATGACTTGGAGCAGACTAGATGAAAGTTTTCTCTGATGACTTGGAGCAGACTAGATGAAAGTTTTGTTTGATGACTTGGAGCAGACTAGATGAAAGTTTTGTTTGATGACTTGGAGCAGACTAGATGAAAGTTTTGTTTGATGACTTGGAGGAGACTAGATCAAAGTTTTGTCTGATGACTTGAAGAGACTAGATGAAAGTTTTGTTTGATGACTTGAAGAGACTAGATGAAAGTTTTGTTTGATGACTTGAAGAGACTAGATGAAAGTTTTGTTGGATGACTTGGAGGAGACTAGATGAAAGTTTTGTTGGATGACTTGGAGGAGACTAGATGAAAGTTTTGTCTGATGACTTGGAGGAGACTAGATGAAAGTTTTGTTTGATGACTTGAAGAGACTAGATGAAAGTTCTGAGCAGAACCTTGTTTAATCTCAGGAAAGGACGGAGGACAAGAAGAAGGTCTTCCAGCTGGCTGCAGGTACCTTTGATGTTTTTTTCTCTCTAATTAATCCTTGAATTATTCACGTTTCTGACTCTGATCTCCACTCTGACGCCACAGCAAGACTTCAGGCTCCAGAACCTTCAGCAGATAAGAGTCCGGACCAGCAGGAGACCGATGGGACCAGTAAAGAGGCCTCCATCCACACCACCCCATCTCCCAGGAGGAACGGCAGCGTCACAAACTTTCAGTCTCCAGGTAACCGTGGTAACAGCATCCGGACCATCAGCCAGTCTGCCTCCAGAACCAAGCTAAACCGTGGACCTGGGTCTGGATCGGTTCGAAGTCCAGCGGTGACCATACTGCCYAAACGCCGGACAGAATACATCCCTAACAGGTGACCCCAGACCCCTTCAGGTGGACTTAGAACACCTGGTTCACAGAACCAGAAGAGTCCATCCACTGCATAGAAGAACAGAACCTTTGGTTCAGGTGGGCTCAGACTCAGAGARCAGGTGAGGAGCTGGAGAGGTTCTCTGCTGGGAGTGGGTCTGAGTTTCTCTCATGGACCTGTAGTTTAGTCTGATCTGGTTTTTATGGAGTGTATGAAAACATCTGGTTCTGTTTCTGAACAGGTTTATGGAACCAGAACCAGGTGAGCCCATGAACTGATTTATGCTGTTGTTGTTTCTCCCACCAGGCCCAGACCATTTATTGGTGGTCCCAGTGGTACCTGCAGGTCCAAGTCCTGCCTCCACATGGCCTATACCTCCCCCGCTCACTGTTCTGACAGCAACCGGTCCGAGCCCCTGTACAGGAAGACAGTCCGGCCTGTCCACCCCGCTGAGACCTCCGGGATCATCGCAGCTCAGGGGTACAGCGGACGCCGCGGCCACGCCACACGCTATGTGATCGTCAACGAGCATGAGCCCCGCAAGAAGCTGCTCTGTTCGGCTACACGAATCCCMTGTCACTACGTGATGGAGGAGCCCACAGAGATCCTGGAGCTGTACCCGCGCAACATCAGGCGGTACCCAACCCGCACCCCCCACCACCAACCACACTCCTACCGGGCCCACACACCCCAGCATCTCAACAAGGAGGAGGAGGAGGAGGAGGAGGAGAGGGGGCGGGACAAAGGCAGGAGGAAGGTGTCTCTAGGAAAAACTCATCGGCCCCGGTCTTTGTCAGACCTCCACCAACAGGCACAGTTCTACATCGGTGAGGGTCTGAATGACCCCCGGGCAGRGAGGTACGGGGTCCAGGAGGACGATGAAGAAGACGACTGTAAAGGAGACATGGACTGGGGAGATCTGGACTTCCCTTCTCCATCTCAGGTGGGTAGAAAAGTAGCTGAACCGGGCCGAAGCACTCATTACCTTCGGTACCTCAGAAGACCATCCCAGTCCCCATCCAGAACCAGGCACCTGGAGTCTCATGTGAAGCCTAAGCTGAGGGCCAAGTTGGAGACCCCTCTAACCGAGTCAGACTCGGCCTCTGTGGCCTCCAGCAGCGACCAGCAGAACAGCAGCACGGATCAGTACATCCAGGTCATCCACAACAAGGAGCGCCACCTCAACTCTGAGCCAAAGAACCAGTTCAAGACCAAGTTGGATCTGAACTTCACCGAGTCTCAGGACCTGGTCTGCTCCAAGGTTTGATGGATTCTCTAACTTCTTTGAATTTCCTGTAAGGAATGRAAGTCACCCGCTGCCTCGGTCAGAGTTCAAAATAAAATCAGTGATTCTGACTCGTTTGGGTCAAACCTTAAAAACAATGTGTCTGATCAGTCAGGCCTTAGAGGACGTGATGGAGAGGACTCTCAGACACTACCACAACAAACCTTAGCTCAGTATCTGTCAAACTGACTGACTTACAGACATTCATGTGTTTGCTAAGATGTGGCGGCCATCTTGAAACAGGTTAAAATATTAGAAGACAAACATCTATTGATTAGTTTCTGATGGTTTGATTCAAGTTTACCAGCTAGGTTACAACCCKTGWCAAAAAGTCTGGAATCAGCAGTSTTGGATGAGCWCTCATTCAGACATTTCATRCTGTAAAACAAACTCAGATCAAAAACATGAAACAATAATAAGGTCATTCCAAAGGTCAACTTGTTGGCTTTCAGGAACACTCAAAGAAATGAAGAGAAAACATTGTGGAAGTCAGTGAATGTTACTTTTATTGACCAAGCACAGGGAAAAAGTATGGAATCCCTCAAATTGGAGGTATAAAATAAGGACACAACCAGTCAGTTTCCTTTCTGTAAGTGGACACCTGCCTCAGATTAGATCTGCTGGTCAGTCTGCAGTTAAAAACACCTGCAGTCATGACACCTTGGAGGGCTGTTCACAGTCAGCTGTATCCAAGATATGGACCAAATACAAACAGCATGGAATGGTTGTTAAAGCCAAGCATACTGGTAGACCAAGAAAGACATCAAAGCATCAAGACAAACAACTTAAGACCATTTGTCTTGAAAACTGGAAAAGTACAACTAAACAGATGAAGCGTAAATGGGAGGAAGCTGGAGCCAATGTATGTGACTGAACTGTAAGAAATGACCTAAAGGAAATGTGATTTCAATNCCATGTTGACCCTGATAGTTTTTTGTTTTGTTTTTCCTCTCCTGTATGGAGAGAAGAGAGGAGAGTTCTTTGAATAAATGGAGACGAGTTCCCGTTCTCCAAAGTTATTTCACTCTGTGGTTGTCTCAGTGTGCAGGTTTCCAACCATCATTGCTCGCACGTTACAGTGAGTACTAATTGAAGAAGATAAAAAAATGTTACTTTTTGTTCAAGCATCACTTTTCTGTTTCTGTCAGGAGTTAAGTAAGGATTTTATCTTTTCTTTTTTGTTGTAGGTAAATATATGGTTAAGTAGATAGTTTTATTTGACAATACTTTAAATTAAATAAAACATTAGCAACACATTACATTCTGTTTTATTTAATTTAAAAAAGTGAGGAGTAGGGAGACAAAATTATGTTTTTCTGATACTGAGACTGGACAAGTAGATCATGGCAAACTGCCGGCTTCAAAAGTAGCTCTTAGTTCAAAAAAGGTTGGGCACCCATGCATTAAAGATAGTAAAAAGGCCTCAGGTTAAATAAGCTAACAGTAATTTTTTTCAGCTGTGATTACAGGGACTGGGGCTCAGGCATGATATGCAGCCAGAAACCTGTTTTACATCTGTTTGTTCCAAGAATTTCTTTTGCATTGAAGCATTTCTTCAGTAACAGTACACGTCAGCAGATATCGTTTATGTTCACTGAGAAATATGAGAATGACAGGAGTATATCAGGACACCGTCAGTTCATACTTAGACCCAGCCTCTGGCTTATTTTGGGCTACACTTAAACAAATGATAAAAGCTGGACTTACGTTGTTTTCTACACCGCTGTAATCCATGGGAGGGTAGAGACAGAGGGCCAGATCATCAACGCTGAGGAGAAAACAACCAGAGGAATAAATTTACTTTCATTTTGATTAAAAATAAAACTTACAGCTAGAAAAACTTGGACCTAACGTTACTAAATTAACAGGAAACGGTTAAATGAAACATTTTATTTTAAAGAGATCCCTGAATTGTACTGTAAAATACTGTAGGCTGTTTAGTTTTTATAATTTTTAAACTAAAAGTTTAAAAATATATTACACGGACAGAGCCATTTTCTTTACACACAAAGCATTCTGGGTAAATGATGACGTGGATAGGTCCTCGGTGCGAGGCTGCTAGCGAGCTATATCCACCCTGAAGGTTAATCTTGGACATTAGAAATATTGGGCCTCATGCAAGAACATGTTCGTATTCTTCTCCTAAATTTCTCTTACTT